CTTGTCAGGATCTCTTATTTTGCAATACAGGTGGCAACAAGCAGACTGAAGACCTGGTCTGAGATTTCTCATTCAGCCAGTGCTACATCCCAAGTTTTTGTTACTGAAAAGAATTGAGGGAATCCGTTTGTGTAACCACATTTGTTTATGTAGTTTTATATAGATTATTTTTATTTATATTTTTCTCACTGTGCTTCTGAATGGGTATGCAAAGCACTGAAAGCCAAACAAAAATTTCTTTTCATTGGCACATCTGTGCCAAAACTGGTTTTCCCATACTTCAGTAACAAGAAATTACTTCTGGTACTCATATTTTTGGGGTTCAAAGCCATTTTTATCTGAGGATGAAATGTTAAATATGACATTTGCCAGTGGGGTCAGAGATGTTTCCTTAAGGACAAGGCCATCACAGAAAGCTCATTACAAGGGGGAGTAATAGCACTGGCCACCAAGCAGGGTGGCATGTGGAGATTCACGCATCAGCACATAAGCTCTAGAGCAGTGGAAACCACTGCACCCCCCCCAGCTTCTCTTCTCTGCCTACTGCTGCACCAAAGGCCTGTTTCATTAAATATGTGTTATAAAAGCAGGTGAGGAAATGAGCAAATTAACCTGGGCCTTTACCCCTCCAAGGGTATGCAGACAGCAGAATGTACCCCTAAGGATTCAGGGGAAAATCTGACAGATGCCATGGTAGAGCAGGGGGTAGATTAAGAATCTCAGGCAGCTGAAGTGACAGGTAACAGTCATATCTCTGTGTGCAAACAGTAACAACAGTGGGCAGGTGGGTGTACTGAGCTTTCTACAGAAAATTGTTGGCACAAAGGGCTTGTAGCAACCTTGCAGAAGGATTCGGCATTAGCTTTAGTGGGCTGTGAGGGAACATAAAGGTCTCAACAAGCCCTTGCAGGATTCAGTCACTGAAAAGATAGGAGTGTGTGTCTATATCTAAGCCACCTTGTGGTTCAGTAGCAACCAGAGTCCAGTATTGTATCCATTCTTTTACCCATGCTGCTTACATGTAGATTACTACTAACTCCAAAGTATGTTCACCTCATTTCCAAATGGTAAGAAAGTAGGTTTTCTTATGTCTGCTTTACAGGTAGAAAACTGAGGCACAAAGAGGAACAGTGGCTCTTCCTAAACGGCAGTGGAAGATGGTGGCCAAAGAGGAAATTAAACCGAGTTTTCTCCATCCTGAAGTTATAGACATACACCTAGAACCATCCCCGTGCCTGAAATAAGATGCTGAATTGTCCAAAAAAGTGAAGCTGCTCCCTGGCTGCCCTCACAAAGTAGCGATGCCGTGTGAACCCATTCTGAGAATGGTGCTGTACCAAACCCTGACAAAATTATTGGAAAGGATCACATTCATGTCAATCAGTGTGGGGCAGTTCTTAAGGCTCTGCCTTCATGCTGGCATTGGTATAATTTAGAGCTCAGCATCTTTACATCCACATATGCAGGTGTAACAGGCGTGTGTGGATGAGTGGAGCAGAAGCTGTGACCATGCACCCTCTTCTGTTTCCTTTCCTTACCACATAGAGTGTTAACTGGTGTGGGAAGTGTTATTTCCTTAAGGACAAATCCTCCTAGTATTTCACATTTTACTTGACAGGAACCCCTTCACCTTCCAATTTCAAATGAATACATTTCATTAGAAATGTTTCATATTTCTTGTGCAACTTATTCCAACAAGAATGTTTATCTTCGTTGAATTGTTTGCATTTACTATCAAAATAAATAAAAAAAATATTAAGTGTAAATGGCATTTCCCCATGGGCTACCTCGTAAAAACAAACAAACAAGCAAATATGCAAACAAACAAAAAGCAAATGAAATCCAACCAGCTTTCTGGCAAGAGGAAAATTGTATGGGTAAAAATATCTGCTTGCTTGATTCCACATGCAGCTCTTTTTCAAGGGATGGAAATGCTTCATTGTGGAGCATACAGGCAGAACCTGATTATGTGAAGCTAGATTGTGGGGCTGTAATACGTGTTGACAAGCACTTTCTAGGGAGGTACAATGACCTAAGTAAATGGCCACCAACACGAATAAGGTCTCCACGGTTTCACCTGCTTGTTAATACACTTATAGGCTGAACTCTATTGTACACACAAATTTACAAGCAGAAAGAGCTAAATATATGGAAATGGGATAAGCATGCAAGTCTGAATACAGGTTATTTCCAGGAGTAAGTTCACTTCCACAAAATTTACATTCACCCAGTATTTTTGTGAGATTCATCCTATCATGCAGGGATGAACATGACCAAAATACAACAGTTTTTCTTAAATTTGTGCCTATCAGCATAGGAAAGATCATGGGTAATACAACATATATGCCTAAGGATTAAAATATTTAATTGTCAAGCCCACTTCCAGAATGTTTAATCCTGTTTCTGAAATGGGGAAGGGGAAACAGGGACACTATTAAGATACGGTGTACACAAACATGAAATGTGGACTGAAACTATTGGATATCAATTGCATTTGGAAAAAATTTACTGGGAGCTAGGGCAAGAATCACTTTAGCTGTCTGCTAGTTCAATAATTTGAGATGTTTTACAATATGAATTCTCTGAATGAAGTGTTGCCAACCCAACTGAACTAGCAGCAATGGCCTTGAAACACTGCTAGATGGAAGAGCCTGGTTTCACAGGTGCCTGGTTTCACTGAGCTGCTTTGAACGTCACTGCCTCTAAATGGTCCAACAGTTGGACACAACATGTGACTGGGAGTTATAAACTTGCATGGCAGAATGGCTAGAGCACCTCTCCTTCAATGTTCAGGTTAGACCTAATCTGTCTGTAGCCCTGTAGAAAAATATTTTCTAGGAAAATGAGAGTGCAAGGGCCACCACACATTGAAAGTCTCTTATTGAAGTAGGGGGTCCTATGCTAGGGATTTTTTGTGGTTCTTCTTTTATCAGTTTTGCCTCTGTATTAATTTAATTTGATTTCTGATTATAAGCATTGACCCCTGAGGGAAAAAATCTTGCTGTTTATATGTTGTGCTTCTTGCTGAGTCGTTCTGTCATGGTAGGAAAGGCTGGAACGCCCCTTGTACTCCAAGACACACTCAAGTAGGAATATGGGCACACTCTGTTTCATGTATTTCCGCTGCCACCTTCTCTTCTCTTTTTATCTTTTCTCTGTGCTTTTTTTTCACCCTGCTAACACATGGATGGAAATTGCTCCCATTGTTGTTCCCACTAGTTTGTTTTGTTGCTTTTCTTATTTCAGTATCTCTCCTTATGCTGAACACAATTCAGTAGCACTTTTAATAGAGGAAAAATGAGTTTCCTCACATCTGTACTCCTTTATGGTTTAGGGCAAGTAACAGATAGAGAATCCCTCTTCAAAACTAGTTTTTATGTAATCAACCGCGATGGATTAATGAAAGGGCCCAAATATTTTTTAAGCATTTTCCTGTTACTATTAATAATAATGTACTTTCTCCAAGGTTCTTATTTGGTTTTGGCTAAAAAACTGTGTGGTTGCTACCTTCCCTGTTACAGTTCAGTGTCTTCCCAAGAAAAGACCCAGCTGGTGAAATCTTGTTTCCGTTTTTGTTAGAATACAAACTCTCTTCTAAAGTATTGTTTTGACCTCTTCTGTTCTCCGGCTTTTTTCAGAGCTTTTACAATGACACTGAAGTAAGTCCGGAGTGTGTTTTTGCCAGGTTGTCATCCCTGGACTGAAGTCTGTAGGGGTAGTCTGCTTTCTTGTGGCAGTAACCAAACACATACTTTGCCAATGGAACTAATTCCTTTCTTTTGCAAAACTTCTGTGTGCTTTGAGAAATTTTGTGGATTGCTGGCTAGTAAACTTTCATGCTGAACAGTCATGCGTGTATGTGTATGTGCATGTGTGAAACAAAGACAGGAGAAATATCCTACAAAATTCAGATTGCCAAGTTTCAATATGGCAACTGTCCTAGTCCACTTTGAGACTCCTTTATGTATGATAAAGTAGTAATTTAGCATAATAATAAGATGAAAGTCAATTTCTTTAGATGTTCTTTAAGAAGTCCTCATTTTCTCACTATCCATGGATGCAGAGATAATACAACAAGGATGCTAGCACAGACTGTTTCAGCATTTACTCTTTCCCAGCACATGGTGCTTGATAATAGCATCCTGTTGATCTTTGTCCTCTATATTTGGCTCTGTAAAAATCTGTTAGGAAACAGTTGTAGTGCTGGGGACTGATGAAGCCATAGGATGCTGCTGTATCTTTGTTTCAACTAGAGATTTTATGAAAGTATTAAAGGGTTATTTCTTATCTCTGATTAAGTCTAAGGTTTCATTCCCCAATGCCATCAAACTAACACCTTTCTTTAGTATAATACATACATGCCTTTGCAAATATTTTAAAAACAGTCATCAATCATGTGTTGTAAGAGAAGACTAACCATCAAGAAGTAGACTTCCCTTCTTATTCTCCAAGGGTGGAATTCAATTATGCAGAGGAACAAAACAAGGTCTATGTGCCATCCAAGTCCCTCGTAGTCCTGTTTGTGCTGACTCTTTACACACGGGTAGACTCTACCACAAAGAAACAATTTCTGTGTGATGTCCGAGTGCCACAATCAATTAAATTTTGTCTGAAGGACCCCTGTCAGTATTGTGTGTGGAAGATGGAAGACATGCCAAGAGGAGTTTTATGCCCAGTGGGCCTGGCTCATGCCCAGCTGAAGTCAGTGGAACTTTTGCCACTCCTTCCAAAATCAACAGAATGGCTCCTCCACTCACTCCCTGTTTCTCTTGCTAAGGCACAGTTCTCTGATATTTTCAGGCACTCGTGCTCTTCAGCTTGGAATCCCCACAAGGTTGGGTTTCATAACAAAAGGCAGCCCTCATTCTTTTAAGTTCGAGTAGACAGAAGAGAGCAAGGTGAGTCATTTTTTTCCCTTGCTAGTCTTGATAGGATGCTGCAGGTTTGCCAAAGATTACTTGAGGTTTCCATGGATAAGGTGTGAGTGAAGACTGCAGCAGTTTGAAGCAAACTAGAATGTTGTTTTTGTAGGTTTTCTTCTTAATTCGCTGGAAAGGACAAAATGCACGTGCAGCACTATCCTAGAGCCACTCCCTCAGCTGTTTGCATTTTAGCAGTGAGTGTCATCTCCTTAAAAATGCTTGACGTTATCCTCAGTAAAAGAATCCTCGTAGTCCAAAGCAGTTTCTTGTTCCAGAAATGTTCCCATATCCTCATAGAGATCTTACAGCACCTTGCAGACCTGACACAGAGCCTTTGAAGTAAACAGAAAGTCTCAGTGGCCTCAAGGATTTAGTTAGGGAGCCCTGTGGACTGCACGAGACAGGTAACACCATCAAAAGCACCTAATAACTACTGACAGTCTTAGTCTCCAAATCACTTGGATGACTCTGAAAATATTTATTCCAGGGCTGGCTATACATTCTTAGCAGTACAGAGCACATAAATGGTACTCAATGAATAATATAAAAGTCCTTCTAAGTACAAAAATATCTCTGTTCAGAAAAATTATAATTTTATGCTTTGCTATTTCTTTTTTGTCAATGTTTTTGTGAGCATCCCTTTGGCTATGGTATTTGCTTAAAGTACAAATATGTACTATGTGTCAAAATAAAATATTTATTGAATACATTTACTTTGTGTCTGTTGAGTTATGGGTGGATTCTGAAGTGCTTCTTTGCTGCGCCTGATGAAGCCATTTTACATTCTCTCTTGGCTAGAGACAATGAAAATTTGAAGCCTCACAGTTCTGCAAAAAGAAATGTTTGAAGAGAATTTGAGTTGAAATTTATCACAAACATTCACTTTTGCTGTCACTCCAGGACCAGCCACAGGATTGCATGAAAACAAGGGTTTTTAAGGGTGGGGATAGTTGTCTCTACCAACACCAGTCCTAATTTGTAGGTGGGCTAATATGAAATGGTACTGCAGACTGGTGGGTGCAACTTGTCCAAGGATGTTTGGAGTGGACTATGGCTTACCTGATGTCCCCAGAGAGGGCAAAGCACATGGTCTTGGTTTCTTTTCTTCTCTCTTTCTTGCAATAATTCAAGGAGGAGAGTGTGAGCAAGTGGAGGACTGAGTCTCTTACACCATGGCCTGCATCACCCAGATGCAAAAATGGGTTTTGTAGATGACTGTGACATCATTGAAGAAAAGTACCACTATGACCTCTGAGAAGAAAAGAGAATGTACCTTTCCCAAGCTCCAGGGAGTCTGCATGGTAGCTAAGAAATTGAAAAAATTTCTGGCACTGGCAGAAGTTCAAAAAACAGCCTTGGGACCTGACAAGTGGTCCTTCCTGTCAGAGAAATTTACTCCTAGACAGAGGAGCAAGCTGGTATTCAGACACTGACAGCAGCAGATACTCATATTGGGTTTGCCTGATTGAAAGTGATGTGGTTGATGATAGCTCATCAGGAAGCAGGAGGGCACCCTCCCAGAGCCTCATTGTCCATGTAAGCATCACCAAAGTGGAGGTGGGCATTGAAAACTCAGACCTTGGCTTTGTGTGAGACTCCCCCGCGAGACACCAGGCACTGCAGCTACTGTCATCTTCTGTGGTTGCTTCACAGGGTGTCCTGCTGTCCTCACTCCATGTCTTTCCCTGAGCATGTTAGAAGTGGCAGCAGTGGTGCACCTTAAGCCTCCTGCAAAAGGTGAAGGACAAACAAAGGCATTGTTATCAAGTTGTGTGCTTTAGTTTGGATTAAAACTGTAAAACTTCAGGCACAGTTTTTCAAGGAGAATCTATGAATGACTAAGTGGGTCTGTGCACAGACTCATAAGCAAAGGATTTGTCAATGGGGAGATTAAGTTCATTGTAGCTGTCTCTTTGTTAAGTGATTGGGTCCTTTGAATATGTAAGCAATATATTATGAGGCCTAGAACAAGTAAAATTAGATGGATATTCAGTTAGGTAGGATCTCCTTCATTTTTGTTTGTAAGTGGTGAAGAGACATACAGGATCCCCTTGGTTCTGGACCCACTCTGGATTTCTTTTGGTGGTTGCTCAACTCCTCTTACTGTCTATAAACAGAATCTGAGGAGATTGTCTTTTGTCAGAGTTACATATGTGCCTGAAGTTATATGGTGTCACAGTTCCATTTAGCTTTCCTGTATGAAGATTTAGAAGAACAGAGAACCTAAAAAATGCTAATTTCTTGTCTACTGGATTTAAATTAAGCATACAGGGATCCATGCCTCAAATAATCCGGTTTGTACAGTTCAAACACATTCTGCAACTTGAAAAAGAAAGACCCAATTCAACAACTACTTTATTTCCTCACCCCATTACAATCGTTGCAATGCAATTATGTTAAATCCAACACAGGAAACCAATTATTTTTGTTGATACAGTGGAATATTTACTGCTAGAGAGTGAGAATAGAGGTCTACCAAGCCAAAGAGAGCAAATGATGACTGGTCCTTCAAATAACTCTAATTTCTGTAAAAGCAAATATCAGCCCTTTCTTTTATCTTTGTGTATCATATCATACAGAAGGAGGTCTTGACATTCTTTGAAAGCTACTCAGAAGCCTCCACATGAGCTGTGCATAAAGAGCTGTAGGTAGCACATGAAAAGTCTCTAAAAACAATTCTGCCACCGTGGCTAGATCCACTGGGATCAAATAAGGTAGTCTTTAATTATAGCCCCCCTGAAAAGCTATGCATATGCAGAATGTTTCCAGAATTTGACTATACCTTGAGACCTGTTTTTGAAGACAAGCCTTTCACATGTTTTAAATGGGATTTAGCCAATTTAAAGGGATGAGCTTACACAGTTGCCTTTATGATCAGAACCAAAGATGTTGTATGACTGATTTTTTAAAAATTTAACATATGTGCACACTTTGTGGGCAGAGACTTATCCTATTGAAATAAAAACACCTCTGTGAAAAGTTAAGCATGTCCATAAGCTTTTGCAGGATGGGCCTGATTTTGTGAAAATGTACTGAAAAACCTGTGTAGTACCTCCTCAGTTCACTTCTATCAGAAAGCGTGTTAGAGCCTATGTGTATTGGCGTGGAATTGCAGTGTTAGCTGTATAAAAAATAGCATTTTCTTGCAAAAAATTTCCTGGTTGTTTTAGGAGATTTTTTTTCTTTGACAGAAAATGTATTGATCTGATCCTGGGAAAGTGACTGTAGTGCTCAACAGAACAGTTCCTGCCACATAATTTTGATGTTCATAGGTTGTGTAATATTTCATATGAAAAGCCTCTGTCAACTTCTACTGACTGCTGAATCTTAAAATGATTCATCCACACAAATGTATTTTTCAGGAAAGCTTCTGAAGCAGGAGACTGACCTCACTGCAAAATACAATTTAATGAAACATATGTTGATTATAAAAGTATGTACATATCTCTATATATTTCTTTTCTCTTTTCTGATTTATTTTTTAACTCACAAGGAAATACAGTGTTTAAAATAATATGAAAAGGAAATTCATGAGAAATAATATATTTTGAAGTATAAATTTGCAAAAGCATGTATTTCTGTGTTGTAACTTTTAGTGTTTACATATAACTATAAAATAAGAAAAGTTAATGTGTGAAATAGCTAAAATTGTCACCATTTCTCAGTTCTGAATTAAATAAAGTTTATATTTCAAATAATTGTAGTCCATGTTTATAGCTTCAGATTTCCATCTCAGTATATCTGAATGTTTTTACCAGTCAGATCTCCCATACACCAATGGAAAATTTGATTTCTATTTCTGCCTTTTACAATTTCTCTTGATCTTCATGGGAAGAACCATCTGTAATAAACTAGGAGAGGAGAGACTGGTTCCACTGACAGCAAATGAAGGTTTTCCCATTAGTTCCCTGAAGTTCGGAGTTTCAGTCTCAAGACATAATTACAGGTAATGATGGACATGTTTAGGTTGGTGTTTAGCCATTGGCTTCAAAGAGGACACATTTCACCCTCAAATGTTTTATTTCAGTAGTGTTTTAAAATATCTGTGTGACTAGATGTATACAAACACACACACCCCCACAGAGGCTCCTCTCACTCACATTTCATGTGGGAGAACACATGGTAGGCTCAGGGTTAAAGCCATGAAGGTGTGGTGTTCTTTGATTGTCTTTTTTTTTAAACACAGATATAACTTGCATTGAAACTTTCTCTTTTTTTGGTCTTTCACAGATAAAAAAACCACTCCAACCCTTTCATAAAGAAGAAATTTTTCCAGCTTGTCTCTGACTGTGTTGTCAGGACCAGTGTCTCACTCATGTGTGATGTTATGTTTTCCCATAAAGCTTTGATAGGAACTAAACATAGAAACTTTAATTCATTTCTTAGTCCTAAACCAGTCATTATTTTACAAACTTATGGCCAAATTTACTAGTGAGTATTACAAAGGTCATTGTGTTGCATAAAGCCACAATTTCTCAAGAAGAGATACATTACTATTTTAAAACCTTTTAACCTTTAAGCTAAGCTTACAATTTTGTGACCTGTTGCACATTTGCATGTAGTATTCAACTTGAAATCTGAGCAAACTGGAGGTGAGCCCAATCCAAATGTGCCAATCCAAGTGAGACCAATTTGGAAAACTGTATCTAGAAAAAATTTAAATCGTAGAATCATAGAATAACCCAGGTTGGAAGTGACCTGAAAATGTAGGCATTTTTTTATATCTCCTCTTAAAGAACAAAAGAAGGCCCAGCACAAGTATTGTACGTCACTAAAGTATCTTCATGTGATTAAATTAAATTGGATTTAAAGTGGCGTAGGGGCCTTGAAATGGTCTGATAGACTTCACCTTTGCTGACACTGGGGATTGAGCTATGGATCTTCAAAACAAAACACCATAAACCTCTGCAAACTATGAAGACCTGAGAATTTTAGCAGACATTTTCCATTAAATCGCTGTGGATAGAGACAAGAAAAACATCCTGTAGGTATTGGTACACAGACAGTATAATGTTGCTGCAGTAGCTGGATGAAACCAAACCCACCACAGCATTGATATGGATGCTAATCAGTAATAAGGTGGAGCAGAGAAACATCTCCCAGTAGTGACTGAACCCTTCACTGTATAATTTTCATTGCCGTTTAGAGTCCATGATAAAGAATTTCAGTTCACAGATGCAAAAGCCTTTCAAGAATGATGCTACAGATAAGACACCTCAGATACACTGACTTAATAAAAGCTACTCCTCCTCTAAATGTGAGTTTTGATGTTTCTTCCTTATTTAAGGGCTATTTCTCCCCGTCCACATTCTAATTAGTGCCAAGGAAAAGTCCTGTGCTGCCCAAAAAGACACCTGTAGATTTTTGCTGAGTCTAGTTGTTCCAAGCAGCGGTCTTTGGACATCTCCAGGTCCTGTTAAGTAGTTGTATGTTGTTTCCGTAGACCTATTGGGTCATTGATGCTCTTTGACTCTTTTCTTTTCAGGCGCTAAATTAGTTAAAAGAAGAAATGATATAACACTGTCCTAAGATGACTATTCGAAGTGAGCAATTGCTGCTCTAGTTGCCATAGGGATACTGAATTAATGCAGATGAGGTAGGAGATATCCAGAAGGCTCTGTGAACACGAGTTTCTCTTCAGCAGCCCAGGGTGACCAAAAGCTGGGAGATTTCTGCACTTCCATCGTGCTGGGGGCAGATGTTGAAATGGCTGTCTGCGTGCTGCACCTTGCTCACCACTGAAAGTGGAACTTGGCTCTTAGGTGCTTTTGAAAACATTACCACAAGTTCCCTAGGAGCAATACTTAGAAACAGCTACTTGCTGCAAAGACTAAAAAACCACCAATACTGGATTCATAATAAATCCACCAAGGAAAACTGTGGAAGCTGCATACAGATGAGACCAAGTGGTGTATTTGGGGACTGATAGAGTCTAATTAAAATAAACTAATATTTGGAGAGGAATAACTCCTCCACAGAGGAAGGAGCTCTTACATAGAAGGTGTTCAACACTATGACAATCTTTCCGTGGAAAAGGACTGATAAGTGAGCTGCTACCCAAGAACTTTGGTTCTAGTATTATTTATCTTATTGATGATGTGGTGAAAGTGGTCAACTGCACAGAGAATGGTGATCATTTTTAGTTCAGTTGTGTATTGGCATGTATTCCAAACAGGACTAAATCAAGGCTCTAGTCATTGCAGATATAACCTATAAATGCATGACATAATAATGCCTAGTCCTCAGAAAACACTGACAAACTTAAGCGATAACTTGGTGACACACACCAGCACTCACAAACTCTACCTTTGGAGCACCATTTCCTCCCAGCCTACTCATGGAAAGAGATAGATCTTATAGCCTAAGGGTCCTCAGATTTATGCTTTCTGTAGGAAGCTACAGAAAAACACCGATGACATTTATGACAAGAATCAACTCTGCCCTCAGGTGCTTTTTCACAGTTGTACATGAGGACTGAGTTTAACACTAAATTATTTGGTTAAAAATACACAAAAAAGTACAGTTTCACACTATACATTTTTGACACAGACACAGCTGTTAATTATTAAGGCAGGCTAGAGCCTTGGCTATTGTGAATGGATGTATCTCAATTGCCTTCAGAGAAATTGTAGTGATTTGCTTCAAGTCACTTAGACTATCGGCTCAGACTTTCAGCTCCCAAAATGCAAATTTGTGCTGGAAAAAAAACATGCTGGCCATGAGTAGGCTGCAAATCTGATGCTCTTTCAAGGTCTATTTTCCCAAGCACTGTGCATTGGATGTATTAACAGTGTAAGATACCCTTGAAAGGATTAACTGTAGATAGTATACCCAAATTTGAGCCAGGATAATTTATTTGAAATAGTGAAGGGTATGAATGGGATTTTATGAGAACAGATGTAAACATTCCCCAACTAGATGGAACAAATTAGCAGCTAAGGAATAAACAGAACGCACGTGGTTCACTGATAAATAAATACACAAAATCTGACTTGTCTTGCTCAAGAGCGGACTAGATGACAGTAGTAACTTCTCTATTCCCACTCATCAAAATACTGTCTGCCCTTCCTATACAACACCTCTAAGCTTAAAGCTCTACAACTTCTTCTAAAATGTCCTCCCCATCCTCATTTTTATGGTTATTATAGTATTATTAACACTATGCATTAGTACCTTTCCAAGTTGTCTGATGGAGGTTAATTAATCCCTTTTAAACCACTCAAGACTTAATTGAAATAAACAAACGTTATCATATCCATCTTCCAGCTGAAGGAAGTGATTCACGGAAAAGTTAAGTTGCTTCTAAAGTCATAAAACAAGTCAGTAGGCAAATCAGGAGGAGAGGTAGGCAGCCCTGGACTTCTAGACTCCCACTATAATGATTGCATTAGCCCGACTTCCTAGAACCAGTATGTCTGAATGAGATAATTTTATTCAAAAGATTTCTCAATTATATTCACATTTAGACTTGATTCCAGTATTACTGTAGCCAGTGGGAACACAGCAGCAGAAGATTTTGGTGCTAATGTAGCCTTTCCAGTGAAAGGAAAGACAACTGTGAGACAGTGTGGGTGAAATCATTTTCCTAATGGGGTACTTTTTTTAATGTTAGCAGGTGTTAGTATTATAAACTTGCAAGAAAGGCCAGGTGCTGTGTTCGGGTATGATCTCACCTTCCTTGTAAATGAGCCTTTAATGTCTCTAATTTCCTTGGTCAGGCACACCCCCCTCCGCCAACTCTCCTGGACTATTCAGCCTTCCCATACCCACAGACGGTGGTAACAAAAGGTAATACTGGATGCAAGAAGGGTCACTTGACCAGCCCTCGCTGTTGCTGTGGACCCTTCCCTGCTTTCCAGTGCTTGATGACAGAGTGTAGGGAAGACAGGAGGGCGGATGAGTGTGGAGAAGGACTGCTGTTACACATGGGTGGTGATGCAGTTCATGCCTCCGGCCTGATGTAGGGGAGAAGGCCCCCGAGATATGATGGTTGTTGCAAGTGACTCCAACCACTGGGAAGCAGGGTGTGCTGCAGGTTCTTTGGGGACAGTGGCCTCTGCAGGAATTACACAGAGCGCCAGCCTCAAACCAACCCTTGGGACTCCACAATATATCGAAATAACATGGGCAATAGCATTCTGAGAGAGGCTGAACATACCCTCCACCACCATGAGGAGCAAAACCATGCCACGACAGGTCTACCAGGCCTTCCTCCTGCTCCCTCCCTGAGGCAGTAGGATAACCATCTGTATACCACTCTGATATGTCAGCACTAAACACCCAGCTTGTAAATGACACGCTTTATCTCCCATTCTGTTCACAGCCTATTGACACACGACAGTGGTAGCAGGACCTCAGCGATTTTCCTGATTTCTCCTGTTTATTCCTGATTTCCACTGGCACAAGAGAAATGGATCATTGCTAGGCGTCTTTTTACAGAATAACCGGACCAACAGTGGGAGGAGAATGAGCTCACATTTAATTTCTGCTTGAAAAATATCGGTGATGAAAAGGCCTTGTGCTATATTTCTGTGATGGTAGACTTTCACCCTGCTGGGAGTAGTTAGACCAGACAATTGAATAACCCTTACTATTAAGAGCAGACTTAAAATATCTTAATCAATGCAATCATAAACACAAAAATTTAAGTGTAGCTGTAATCCTCATTAGCACATGACACCATGCTCAATTTCACATGCAATTACCTGGATAGACCATGTAATTATGCCACATAATTACTCACACATTTTACGAATGAAGTTGCATCTCTGCAGCTCAAGATGATGATGTAGCTCCTTCATTTCAACCAAAGTCCTGTGGCACATTTTCCACCAGACACACATTCTCTTTTTTAAAAGCAAGGACCAGAAGTTGAAAAAAGTCATCTGAGAGCTCAAGAAAAAATTTAAGTATTGTGTTTTAGGCACTCAATTTTGCTTTAGGACATTAGGATTAATTGATGAAATTTATTGGCAGAAGCTTGTTTAGAACATGTAAATTATTGCAAATGTAACCTGTTATTGCTGGTATCTATTAAACCTCTTAATATGCTCTGGGCTCCCTCACTGAAGGCATTAAAAGATGAACAAATAGCAAATTCCCAGGCAGGAAATGATGCCAGGCCATGTTCTCAACTGCATCTAAATCTACTCAGTGCAGCAAATGGCAGGAATTAAATTGTTGTTGGTTATAATTCCCAAATACACCGTGATAATCTGTTTCAGTCCCCGCATAGGTTTGCAATATAGACCTTATCATAGTTTACACTACGGAAAAGCAAGACTACCTCTAGAGGCCAGCTGTGTCAACTCTGGCTGTTGGACTGCTGCCCAAACTGTATAGGCAGTGCACGGATATCACCCGTAAAGACAAAAGCCCTGATACCCCATTGCCCTGTATTTTACTTTGCCCTTTAATTGTGTTTGTTCAAACAGAAGTGCATATAAAATGCCGCAGGCCTGATTGCATCGGTCTGCAGTCCCATGCAGGGAGTGGGAGGAGAGTCTTATGACTGACTGATACTGGATTAATTTGTCATTCAAAAAAAAAAAAAATCTCAAAGAGAACTATATTAAAAATATATTTCATGTGACCTCACTTGAAACATTTTATTCTGGGTTAGAGAGTTTCTTTCAATCATTTTATTGTTTCTTCAACAAAAAGAAAGCAGCTTTAAAACAAAAGCAGTTTGGAGGAAATAATTCAGTTGGAATAAAACGTACCAAAAGGAAATGCAGTCATTCAGTAATACAGCGAAACAAAGTCAAATTCACACCATGTTTTCCACATCCCAAAACAAAGGTATGTGCCAAAACAAATTTTGGTGATTAATATACACACCAGAGTGCCAGGTCAGCTTTATTTTCAGTAAGTAACATAGCCCTTGAGTTCCTACAAAACAAAGCCCATTGTAGTGAGTGCAAGCTCAGCCCTAAACATTTGGGACAAAAGGTAAGGTAAATGGAGAGGTAAGCCACCTATGGAGCTATAATCCCAACCAGCAGAACGGCCTTTAGAAGATATGCAGTTCTAATGGGTCCACTTTTCCTGGGAAGTGTGAGTAGCCCAGTTGTTCCTTGTGTGATATCATTGCCGGTTGCTATATCTTGTTCTCTGTCTGGGACGAGGGTATTTGGACAAGATGAAGAGAGAAAATATACAAAGGCAATGCCTAGAGATAGGAATTGTAGTACCTTGTCTGTATAGTGTGACAGTTAATGTCAGTCTAGAAATTTTAACATTTGACTTTGTGTATGGGCTCTTGGTAGCCCATTAAAGAAAAATGAAGTAAGATGAACCCCCATCATGAGTTTTCTCTTGGGTGCTAAATCAGAGCAGAGTCAACTGAAACCAAAGCTTTCTTTATTCGAAGGGTATTGTGGGGTCTTACCCCCAGTGCTGCTCAGCACATTCTCAAAAATATTGGTAACAAAGTTTTAGAGACCTAAAAATCTAAAGCAAACTATTTTTCCATTTTTCTGTGACGATCTATTTGCACGTAAACTTCAGAATGCCTAAGCAATTTTGCTCTAGTTTAGATTAAAATTTACCTTTTTTTTTTAATTGCCAAGGCTGATATTTAAAAAGGCATTTTAAGTGTTTTCTTCTTAAACAGTTTTAAAGAATATATTCAAGGGCCTGTTGTTCATGTAGGAATAAGAGTGTACAGTATTGTACTGGATAAGGCTTACAATGAAATCTTCTGTCACGAAATCTGTGCAAAGTGATAAGATCTATTTCATACAGTAATTTAAATGTGTAGATCTCAAAGCCCTTGAGGAAAGGGGTTGTAATCACCAACACTGACGATCACTGCTGATGGGGAGCCTCAGGAGATAAAGGGATTCGGTGAAGGTCATCCAGCACG